CATGAGCAGGTCTGACACCTGTGAAGGGAGAGAGGGAGGATTGAGTAGGAAGAGCCTCAGACTGGTATACGGTTCTGAGAAAATCTTGGATAGGTCAGTGGGGAGTCTTCTGGCAAAAGTTGCCCCATAAAGGAGTCCCACCTGGAATGCTCAGACACTGGTGGGAAGAGTGCAGAAAAAGAGTGCTCTCAGAGCAAAGGGTACAATGGATTCAAAAGGATGGCAACTAGAGCTGTCAGTTGACTGTGCTCCCCACAGTAAAGTCTTTTGAAGATCTGAATAGCAAGCCTCCCTGGCTGCCATAGAGGCTATTTAAACTACCGTGGTATAATAAAGTTTAAGTATTCAATCATTGACCCTGGTTCCTGGCTCAGAGCTCCTTAAAATCCTTGGAATTCTAAGTTATAAGAATGTCAGGACTTCCCCGGTGGCGCAGTGGTTAAGAATCAACCTGCCACTGTAGGCGACACGGGTTTGATCCCTGGTTCCGGAAGATGCCACATGCCACAGAGCAACTACGCCCGTGAGCCACAACTACTGAGCCCGCATGCCACAACTACTGAAGCCCCCACACCTAGAGCCCGCGCTCCGCAACAAGAGAAGCCACCGCAATGAGAAGCCCACGCACTACAACGAAGAGTAGCCCCTGCTCACCACAACAAGAGAAAGGCCGCGTGCAGCAACGAAGACCCAACACAGCCAAAAAAAAAAAAAAGTCAATTATATGCTAAAGAGATGATTCCTGGTGGGGGCCCTAGATAGCTTCGAGATGGGAGCTGTTTGCCATAAAAAACAACCATGTGATTAGAGGGTTAGAACTTTCAGGTCCACCTCTCCCCCAGCTCTGGGAAGGGGAGAGGGGCTGGAGATTGAGTTCAGTCACGAAGGGCCAACAATTTAATCAATTATGCCTATGTGATGAAGCCTAAATAAAAATCCTCAAACAATGAGGTTTGGGGAGCTTCCAAATTAGTGAAGACATCCAGGTGCTAGGAGGGTGACCCACCCAGAAAGGGTATGGAAACTCTGTGCAACCCCCCTCCCCATATCTTCCATTTGGCTGTTCCAGGGCTGTATCCTTTATAATAAAACTGTAATTGTAAGTACAGTGGTTTCCATGAGTTCCGGGAGTCATTCTAGTGAATTATGAAACCTGGGCACGGGGGGAGGTCATGGGAACCCCCAAATTTGTAGTCAGAGACGTGGGTAGCCTGGGGCCCCCCTTGTGGCTTACTCCTAAAGTGGGAGCAGGCTTGTGGGACTGAGCCCTTAACTTGTAGCATCTGCAGCAGCTGTGAGTAGTGTCAGAACTGAATTGAATTATAGATAATTGGTGTTGCAACAACATATTTGTCAGAAAAAAACAAACCAAAAAAACCCCACAACTCCTAGTTATCCTATAGATCACAGTTCAAACATCACCTCTTGGGAACACTTTTCCTGCTCCCAAAACTAGCTCAGGCCCTGGCTTTCCTTCACAGTGCATATAAAGAGTTACTCATGTAATTATCTGATAACTGTCTGCCCCATCAATTAGACTGTAAGCTACACAAGGGCTTGTCTTTCATTGAGTAGTTATTTTTTCCTGTATTTCTAATTAAATATCCAGAGCTAGAAACCCTCTCTTTTTATAGGCTTGTTGTGAAGATTCAAAGAGTTAACATATGTATGGGGCTTCCCTGGTGGCACAGCGGTTAAGAATCTGTCTGCCAGTACAGAGGACACGGGTTCGAGCCCTGGTCCGGGAAGATCCCACATGCCTCAGAGCAACTAAGCCCGTGCGCCACAACTACTGAGCCTGCGCTCTAGAGCCCGTGAGCCACAACTACTGAGCCCACGTGCTGCAACTACTGAAGCCCGCGTGCCTAGAGTCCGTGCTCCGCAACAAGAGAAGAGACCGCAATGAGAAGCCCGTGCACCACAACAAAGAGCAACCCCCGCTCACCGCAACTAGAGAAAGCCTGCGCACAGCAACAGACCCAATGCAGCCAAAAATAAATAATAATAATTTTTTTAAAGAGTTAACATATGTAATGCACTTTAAGAAACATAAGTTACATACATAAGTGCTTGCCGTTATTGCTAATCTTTAAGTCTCTACAGTTTTTGCTATAAAGTTGGCCACAAATATGTTAAGGTAAACTGAGTTTGTATACAAATTATGTTAAAGTTAACTGTATAGTGAAATTCCACATTATGGGTTCATTTTCAGAATATCTTTATATTTCCTTCAAACAGCATCAAGCTAAAGCACCACCTTTAGGTACGGCTATAGACAAGTATCTGAACAAAGTGAACCTTGCCTGTATTGCTATCATAGGCAAGAGTCTTTTGCCCAGAATTGGGTAAAATGAGGTAAAATTCCCTTCCAGAAAAACCCATGCCTTAGTCTTATATTTATCTAGAGTTTGGGGGAAGGGTCAAGGATTACTTTGGATTAGAAGTTTGTGTGAACTTTTTTTCTCTTTAAATCTGTATAAATAGCTTACAATATTTAAGGACAAGATAAAATCACGAACTGAAAATAATTAGGAAATCCAATATTTATTAGTAAAAACTTTACTTAAATCCAGATATAGTTAAGGGCTCAGCCTTGCCTTAGAGTCTATTAGAGGTCCTCAGGAATCATTCTAACAACTTGCCTTAAAGTCTCTCTATATTTACATGTAAGTCAGCGTTTTAAATCAGTGTGTTTTTACAAGGCATAAACACTTCAGGGTGACAGCACAGTACTTGGTCAATAAACATTTGTTAAATGAATTCAAGGCTATCAGCACCCAACATTTACTGGGTACTTGTTTTCTGCCAGGCATGAAATTGTTTTATGCATACACACACACACACAGACACACATACTGAGAGGTTGGTATTATCTCACATCACCTAATGAGGACACTGAGACATAAAGTAGCTGAAGTTCAGAGAGTAAGTAATGGCAGAATCAGAACTTGAACCCAAGTCTGCCTGGCATCAAAGCTCCTCCTTTCCCCACGTTGGGGCTTCCCTAATGAATAAGTGGAAGGATGCACACAAAACAAGGTCAAAGTTCAATCCTTTATCATATAAATAAGCTCATATTGAAAGTGAACAAGTGAAGTTTCACTATTAAGCACTTAACTCTATCCTTCCTTTTTCTTAATTTTCTATCAGAAAATGCTTCTAATTTCTCTCCAAGAAAATAAATCTTAACGGCATTTTTTGGTCAATTTTACTGAGATGTTATTTGCCATTCAACAATTTTCCTTGGTTTCCTGCTTCCATTAAAGGAGACAAGCAATAAACAGTAGATATAAGTGACTACTGGAGATGTAAGAAGAATTCAGAGTGGTCCAAACAGGATCTTACTTGTTATATACATAGAAGGAAATGTATCTTATAATGCTCTGCTTATTGCAACTGGTTCACGTGAAAATAATGAGTTCTGTGAAACACAACTCACCCATGTATTCTCTAATGGTCTACTGGCAAATTAGAAATCACAAAACGTAGTGAGGTCTTCAGACACTGACGCCTGGAAAATTAATTAGAAAACTGCCCCTTTCTGAGTAATTTAGTCCAGCAAGATTCTGGGGTAATTTACAATTAATTTAAAAATAAGAAAACAGACAGATGCAACTGCTAATGTTTATGAGATGTTATGAGCTTGCAATTAAATGATTATGTCTAAGTAGATCTTTAAAATAGAAAAAAAGGCACATAGAGGGTATTCATCATCAACGTGAAACCATACATCCGTGTCCTCTGTTACATCAAATGCTACAGCTTACAGAGATGTAGATTACTCAGAATTAAAGGACTTCCATTATGACCAGATATCCCCCCCCCCTTCTTCTTTGGGCCGCACCGCTCGGCTTGCAGTATCTTAGTTCCCCACCATGGATCAAACTTGAACCCGCCCTAGCAGTGAGCGCGCTGAGTCCTAACCACTGGACCGCTGGGGAATTCCGCTCCGCCCCGCCCCCCCACCCCCACTCTGAGTAGGAAAGAAATGCAGCAATCTCTAATTGAAATCACCCAGATCACCCACCCCACCTAAGGGCAACCCAAAGCTGAATAATATTTAAAAGCCTGGTACTTATGAATTCTTTCAAAAGTTAAGGGATGAAAGAAAATCTGTTTATTGGGCATAAAGTTATATACTGTTCCTTAGAAACCAACGTTTGTCTTTCATGTAACTAGAAGTTGATGAAAAGGGGGAACTGAAACTGAAACCATCTGGAAAGTTCCAGTTCACAGAAGCAGCACTTCAAAAGCAGTAATGTCTTTACAAACCCTACTGTTGGATTAAAGCATCTCATTCCATTGGTGGGAAAGGATCACTGACACTTTACATAATAAATGTTTCCAGGATAGTAACTGTGGTCCCTGAACCAAAGACCAGGAATAAAGGCTACCTACCTGTTCCTGTGTAGAGCACTTATCAACACCCGCGGCAAAAAAACACTACACCCACTCACTTCCTCTCCGGCTCAGTCCTCTGGTCCTAAGAGGCTACTTTATCCGGGAGTTTTGTTGGAATGCAGGATCCTAGAGGCAGCATTTGCATTTCAACCCAATAACACATTCTCTCTTCACCCTTACCCTCCCAGCTGATGTGAAGATACGATTTAGGGCATCAGTTTTTTTAAGATAGGAAGGGAAAAAAATATTTTCATACTATTTAAGAGCATGAGTTCTGGAGATACCTGGAAAATTAGTAAGAAGCCTAGGCAGTTACTACACACCCAGTAGTAGCCTAGTCCTGTAGCCGGTCACAAGAATCAGGAAAGTAGTGTCCTCAAAAGGAACGGGGGCTCGGATGTTCAGTAAGGATCCCGGACCGGCACACTCAATTTATACGGTAATTCACGGATGCCATTGTTTAGACAAATGAGCCTGCATTTTCTTAGAGACCCTGTAATGGGGCCCCTGTGGTTCAAACTTACGTGATCTGAGAAGAGCCTGGGAGCCTGTCTGGGGTCTGGGCTTCCGCCCCGCAGGACAGGTGATTAAATACTTACAACCTCTGGCTCGCGTGCTCCAGGCTCTCCCGCGAAGGGCTCTCGGGAGCCTCCTCCAAACCCCGCCTGGGGCCCTGCGGCGGGCCCAGCTCCCTGCGCCACGCAGCGGGATCCCGGGCCGGGCGGGAGGCGGCGGGGGCTCCGAACCCGGAGCCCTGCACCCTACTGTGGGTGTACATGGTCCAGAGCCCGCGGGGCCCGGGCCGCCGCCGCTGCGGGAAGGATGAGGGCCGAGCTGGGACGCTTCGCGGGTCTCGAGATGCGATTCCGAAGAGCGGGAGCGGCGGGTTTAGCAGCTGAGTTTCGATTCCCGCTACCAGCCGCGGGCTGCCCCGCCCCCCGGGACTTCCCCGACCTTGCTCCTCCCTGGGGCCCTCTGACCTGATCGCAGGTGACAGAGCCGGCCGCGCGCCCCGCCTGGGATGTTGTATGGAGCGCGCCTGGCCAGCTACAGGTGAGTTGGTTTGAGGTCTCACAACCATCTTAAAGGGTGATAAAGTTATCTATGATCAATCACGGAGACCTCATGCAAGCAGGGAGTAGGGAGTAGCCACCAGGTAGCTGAAATCCTGAAAGACACTTAGGACTATTTAACAGGTCACCCTAATTTGAGGTTCCTGCAGGATATTTGAGACTGTGAACAATATATTAACCTTCAGATTCCAGAGATTAGGTCAATAATTAAAATTATCTAAACAAAATTTGGCCTTTTATCAGTTTTGACTGCTGTTTGGTTTTTGCCAAGTAGTTTCATTTTTTTTAATTTTTTTTAAAATTTTATTTATTTATTTATTTATTTATTTATTTATTTATTATTTTGGCTGCCGTTGGGTCTTTGTTGCTGCGCACAGGCTTTCTCTAGTTGCAGCAAGCAGGGGCTACTCTTTGTTGCGGTGCTCAGGCTTCTCATTGTGGTGGCTTCTCTTGTTGTGGAGCATGGGCTCTAGACGCATGGGCTTCATTAGTTGCAGCACGCAGGCTCAGTAGTTACGGCTCACGGGCTCTAGAGCACAGGCTTAGTAGTTGTGGCACACGGGCTTAGTTGCTCCATGGCATGTGGGATCTTCCCAGACCAGGGCTGGACCCCATGCCCCCTGCATTGGCAGGCGGATTCTTCACCACTGTGCCAGCAGGGGGGCTGGACCCCATGCCCCCTGCATTGGCAGGCGGATTCTTCACCACTGTGCCAGCAGGGAAGCCCCTGCCAAGTACTTTCAAGTTAAAGGAAATGGAAAGTGAAATCAAAAGTGAAAGAAAAAGCAGAACTGGAGCAGCAAGCTGGGGGGAAGGCAGAGATGATTCTCTACGCAGCCCTGCTAAGTGATTGATCAGACATTAAAGAAATTTTGATTAAATACCTGCTCTGTGCAAGACATTGGGCAGTAATTCAACTATGGTATGGGAATAGTTTAAAATATGATTTGCAAGATTCTATAGGTCCAGGGGTGAGTCCCTGCATCCAATTTTTTAATAGCTCCTGGATGACTCTGATGTGTGCTGCGATGATCACCACTGTCCTTTGTGTAGATGGCTACCCAAAGATAAAAGAAGGCTCTTCCCTCACCCAACCGCTACTCTAGAAGACACGTAAACAAACGTTAATGCCACCATGGGTTAAGCGAAATAACAAGATGTGTAAGGCTATTGAATGTTCAGGGAAAGTAGGGATTAGCCCTCCGAATAATTCAAAGAAAAGGGACATTTTAGAATGAGCCGCAAAAGTCAAGGAGTTCACCAAGAAGGAGGCACAATGCTGGAGCCTTGTGGCTTACACTGACAAGGTGTGTACCTACTCCAGGTGGGGGGGGAATGGCTGGAACACCCCAGCCTATAGTCATCAAGCCACTTAGGAGTTCGATTGTTTTGCTTATATTACTGGTGCTTAGAAAATAAAGACAAACACATGTTTGATAGCTAGTGAAAGATTTCAATGAATGGTGGGCAGTGTGTGGAGTAGGACAGGAGAGGAGAAGGTAAAGGCAAGGGACTTGTTAGGGAAGGAAGTCAGGGTTTCTATGCCACCTGCAGTGTTAGAGGTCTGTCAAGTAGACCGCAGGTTCTCAAATATCAGAGCCCATCAGAACCACCTGGAGGGTGTATTGAAACACACTTCTGGACGCTAACCCTTGTGTTTCTGATTCAGTAGGTCTGGGGTGGGACCCTGTGGGGTATTGTGAGGATCAGTTGTTCTCAAATGGAGTTGACTTTGTCTCCAGCAGATATTTGGCAACACCTGGAGATCATTTTTATTGTGAAGCCTGGAAGCCGGTGGAAGTGGGGCTATTGGCATCTAGTGGAGGCCAGGGATAATGCTAAACACCTTACAGTGCACAGGACAGCCCCCCACACAGAGAATCATCCTGCCCCAAACGTCAGTAGATCAGGTTAAAAAATCCTGACCTACACAATATGTCTAGTTGAGAATCCCAGTAATTTAATGGTTGCTGTTTTTATGGTGACTTTAAGGTTTTAGCTTTGTAAAATGGGTAGGTGGCACAACCATTCATCATGGATCAGGAGGAAGGTGAGATTTTGAGAACAGTTGGGTTGGAGGTGACTGCAGGGTGAGAAATGCAAACAATGAATCTGGGTGGGCTTTCTGGAGGTGATCTTCAGAATCTCTTCTGCTGGGAAAATATCACAGAAACTTTTTTTTTCAGAAGAGAAAGTAGTTGTTTTGGTGGTTGGATTAAATTCAAGTTTTGAGTAAGGGAAAGCCCATTAGGGGAAAACCAGTTCTGTTAAAGGAGCTGGTAATAGTAATACTGACTTCAGGAATACATTTAGTTGACCATATTTATTTTACAACACAACCATGTAACACACCCACGTTTCAAACATGAGATAGAAATAGAAGATAATGGGCAAAATCTAAATTGCTTATTCTGTTCACTTCTCGCTTTGCTACATTCTCAAAGTGTTTTTAAAAATGTGAATATGTTTTCTAAAGTGTGAATTGTAATAAACATCTAAAAGCTTCTTCAGGGTGCTCAACAGTGAGTCATCCATGAAACTATACATAGAGAACCCTAACAGTGCTACCAGAAAACTACGAGAACTAATCAATGAATTTGGTAAAGTAGCAGGATACAAAATTGATGCACAGAAATCTCCTGCATTCCTATACACTAAAGACGAAAAATCTGAAAGAGAAATTAAGGAAACACTCCCATTCACCACTGCAACAAAAAGAATAAAATACCTAGGAATAAACCTACCTAAGGAGACAAAAGACCTGTATGCAGAAAACTATGACACTGATGAAAGAAATTAAAGATGATACAAATAGATGGAGAGATATATCATGTTCTTGGATTGGAAGAATCAACATTGTGAAAATGACTATACTATCCAAAGCAATCTACAGATTCAATGCAATCCCTATCAAACTACCACTGACATTTTTCACAGAACTAGAACAAAAAATTGCACACTTTGTGTGGAAACACAAAAGACTCCCAAATAGCCAAAACAATCTTGAGAAAGAAAAACGGAGCTGGAGGAATTAGGCTGCTGGACTTCAGACTATACTACAAAGCTACAGTAATCAAGACAGTATGGTACTGGCACAAAAGCAGAAATATAGATCAATGGAAAAGGATAGAAAGCCCAGAGATAAACCCATGCATATAAGGTCACCTTATTTTCGATAAAGGAAGCAAGAATATACAATGGAGAAAAGACAGCCTCTTCAATAAGTGGTGCTGGGAAAACTGGACAGCTACATGTAAAAGAATGAAATTAGAACACTCCCTAACACCATACACAAAAATAAACTCAGAATGGATTAAAGACCTAAAAGTGAGCCCAGACACTATCAAACTCTTAGAGGAAAACATAAGCAGAACACTCTATGACCTAAATCACAACAAGATCCTTTTTGACCCACCTCCTAGAGAAATAGAAATAAAATCAAAAATAAACAAATGGGACCTAATGAAACTTCAAAGCTTTTGCACAGCAAAGGAAACCATAAACAAGACCAAAAGACAACCCTCAGAATGGGAGAAAATATTTGCAAACGAAGCAACTGACAAAGGATTAATCTCCAAAATTGACATATTGACATATGAGCTGCAGCTCAGTATCAAAAAAACAAACAACCCAATCCAAAAATGGGCAGAAGATCTAAACAGACATTTCTCTGAAGAAGATAAATAGATTGCACACAAACACATGAAAGTATTCTCAACATCACTAATCATTAGAGAAATGCAAAATCAAAACTACAATGAGGTATCAACTCACACAGTCAGAATGGCCACCATCAAAAAAATCTACAAACAATAGTTGCTGGAGAGGGTGTGGAGAAAAGGGAACCCCCTTGCACTGTTGGTGGGAATGTAAATTGATACAGCCACTATAGAGAACAGTATGGAGGTTCCTTATAAAACTAAAAATAGGGGGCTTCCCTGATGGCGTAGTGGTTGAGAGTCTGCCTGCCGATGTCAGGGACACGGATTCGTGCCCCAGTCCAGGAAGATCCCACATGCAGTGCAGCGGCTGGGCCCGTGAGCCATAGCTGCTAAGCCTGCACGTCTGGGGCCTGTGCTCTGCAACGAGAGAGGCCACAACAGTGAGAGGCCCATGTACCACACACACACAAAAAACTAAAAATAGAACTACCATACGACCCAGCAATCCCACTACTGAGCATATACCCTGGGAAAACCATAATTCAAAAAGAATCATGTACCACAATGTTCATTGCAGCTCTATTTACAATAGCCAGGACATGGAAGCAACCTAAGTGTCCATCGACAGACGAATGGATAAAGAAGATGTGGCACATATATACAATGGAATATTACTCAGCCACGAAAAGAAGTGAAACTGAGTTATTTGTAGTGAGGTGGATGGACCTACAAACTGTCATACAGAGTGAAGTAAGTCAGAAGGAGAAAAACAAATACTGTATGCTAACACATATATATGGAATCTAAAAAAAAAAAAAAATGCTTCTGAAAAACCTAGGGGCAGGACAGGAATAAAGACGCAGACGTAGAGAATGGACTTGAGGACATGGGGAGCGGGAAGGGTAAGCTGGGACGAAGTGAGAGAGTGGCATGGACATATATACGCTACCAAACATAAAATAGATAGCTAGTGGGAAGCAGCCGCATAGCACAGGGAGATCAGCTCGGTGCTTTGTGACCACCTAGAGGGGTGGGATGGGGAG